AGAACTTTCCACCTCTCTAGGTTTTGATCTAGCTCGTTACTTTTTCTGAGCCACTGTCCAACATTTTGTTGTTAACTGCTTGCTCTTGGTGGTTTTTCCGGGCGGATTATATGTGCAAGCATATTGTCATCACTGTAAAAAGGGCTTATTACAGTAAGAGGCATTTAATTGAACATTCTTGAAGAAGCTTCATGTATTAGTACAAGGATATGTTCAACTTGTGGCTGATAAACTGGCCCTACAAATTCACTGTTATCCGCTTTCAAAACTGCTATCCAAAGCCCTGTAGTTTGACCTTGCTTGAATCAATCAAGGGCTTTCAGCATTACAGCAAAAAACATCATTGGGGTGTCCTTGGAGGTGAGGTGTGTCTGTGATAATTACAGCTTCTGATTGCTGGTTGGATTAACTAGCAGTGCATGTTTTGGATTGCAGTCATTTATGACAGAGCAAAAAAGGAACCGCAGAGACGTTTAATATCTGGGGTATTCTTCTGCTAATTCACGGCGGCAACATATGTGCAAGGTCGTTTATTTTATTAAACTGTTTTCCCATGAAAGACAAATATGATTTTGCAATTGCACGACACTATAGAAAAATATTTAATAAACAAAATAAACTGAAATTTGCATAAAAAGACTAGAGGAGAAATGCAAAAGATATTGGTACACAAATGTAAGTGAGCAGGTAGAAAATGTGTTTATTCTTAACCTAGCAGGTTGGCGGGTCGTTGTAAATCCTAAAATTGATGTCATGTAAACACATTATCTTTGGGTGCACGTATTGAAAAGGTATGTAAATATTACATTTAGGATGTTTGGATGATTAAGAAAGTTTATTTTACAATTGAGAATCTATTAACTTGTCAGCAGCTCACACGAGCTGTCAGCTCTCACAAGACATGTTTTGGGCTTCATCAGTGTTTAGAAAAACGTGGCATCTAAAATAGATGCTTTTATTTTTCCTTTCATTTATTTCGTTTCATTTTATGTTTTAAGCTCTGGTGGATGATGGAATATCTGCATCAATCAAACAACACTCAAAATGTAAAAACATCAAAAAAATATGGGTGGATGTTCACTGTTTTCCAAGTGCTGACTATGGCTGTGAAGCTGAGGATGTCTGAACAGCAGCCAAATATGAGCCAAAAAGTATGTGAGGGCTTGTACCTGTTGTGGTACTTGTTGTTGAACTTTCAGTTGTAGCCCATGGGGGCAAAGCAAGCCCCTTGACATCGGCAATACTTCCATGTGATTAAACAGGCACCCCCTCCAAGCTATAGTGAGCAGTTTAGGTCCATCATCTACCCTGACTGCCTTATCTTGTAACCGCAACCGTATTTCATAGAAATCTGTATTTCTGTTGCCCCTTGTGGAATAGTAGGAGACTGCAAGTAATTCAAATGAACGCCACTGGCATTTTCTCACTATTTCCTTATTGCATGGAATGTCATGCTCCCCTACTGAGGCCTGGACAGATGGCTACAGCCCAGATGGAAGGCTATTATTTCTCCAGTCTGTGCACCAATAGAACCAGTCTGCTCATTGGGGTCTGAAGACTGACAGAGGCAGAGTAACAATGACAGGTTGGCTTTGCTCAACTCCTCTCTCTATATTACTTTAACAAAAGCTTCACCGGCCTCCGACTGGTTCACTTCCTGCGGGAGTCTCGCGGACCCTGTAACAAATTTAAAAAGCAATCTAATAACTGCCAGAATCTGTGGCGAGCAAATGGATATTAAGTGAATGGATGCACCCCGTTTCCCTGGTGTCACAAATACCGGGCTGTAGTTACGAAGAATCCTTGGATGCAAGGTTAAAAAAGAGGTGCATCTGTGTGCTGAAGTCAAAACTACATTTAAACGATGGTCACATAATTGTAATAATAGTTGTTCGTTCGAATATTATAATCTGGATTAGAATATTCCTGTACCTTGTCATAGATTATGGAAATGAATGTAAACATATGAAATGTTCTTATTACAGGTTCTTAAATGTGATGCTTGTTCACTAGATTTTGTCAATCTTTTATTCTGAAACGTTACATGGTATCCTCAAAACCTGAATGTAATCAGATTCTTGCTGATTTCCTTACACTTCTCTTGGAGATCATTACTTGCAGGCTCCACTTCCTGGGGTTCATCTGCCGGGTTAGGTTAACTCGTGCAGAACCATGTCTTTGAATGAGCACAGGTTATTTAGAGAAAAAGACCAGGATGTATGCTCATACTAAACAGAGTGAAAAAGACATTATTCTGACAAAGCCGCAAAGCCTGTCCTGATGTTGTTTGTTCGGTCGCCTGTGAAATACACCCAGCACGCTACACGGTGTGTGTCAAATCCCATGTTATTTTTCACAAGCAGTGTCAACAACAGCTGTAGACAAACGGTAATAAACATAGTTTACAATTCCTTTGTTTCCCAAAATGTGAAATTAACAGCAAGCTAAAAGAGTAGTGATTAAGATGCATGTCAACACACAGTATGGAGTCAATGTGCTTAAATGTGGATTCAAGGTATGTGAAGATGAAGCACGTAATCTATGAGTAGTTTGTGGAAGCAGGATGAGATTTGTGCTGTGTGAGATATCAGGAGTGTTTGTTTAGCATGTATTTGTGCCACAGCATCTTGATTGGATAAGTGTCCGGACACGGGTTAACATGTTTCAAGCATGTTCTGCATTTGATAGCTGAACATGTGTGTATGTGTGTGTGTGTGTGCGTAAAGTATATGTGAGTGTTTCTAGTGTATGTGCGTTTATTTGGAACTAAAAAACGGGACACCTAGGAATCCATTTTCTAACAGTTGTGTAGTCTTTGTCTCTCAACTGGTTTGGTGAGAAGCTGTACAGGAGCTATTCAATTATGGACAATTAATGTAATAATGTAGAGGCATCCTGTGGTTGGCTGGTTGGATAATGGTTGCTCCCTCCACTGACAGCCTGTTATAGTGGTCCTGAATAAGCCCAGCCAATGTGAAATGTGTGGCTGTTTTTACTGCCTTGTTGAAGTGCTTTGCAATTCAGGGGCATTGCAATACGTGCATCGGGAGACACATATCTCAACATCAATTAAAATAAGTCTCTTAAGTTCCCCCTGCAGGCTGTCTTGATGTTATTGGTGATCAATAATAATTATTGGTGTTCACTAACACTTGCTGGACTCATGTGCTGCCTTGATCCAAATGGAAGTGTTAACTTAGGTATGAGCTGGACGGGCACTATATCATTAACCGCTGAGCTATATCTGATGAAAAGCATTCAATGGTCCTTGTGCCCAGGTAGAAGAGGGCAGTGTTGAGTCCAATTGACACTGTGTCATCTGTCGATCTGTCGGGAGTGGTATGCGAACTGGAGAGTGTCCAGAGTGAACAGGACAAGTATTAACTTCTGACTGAAAGTCACTTAGGCAGGATGCCCTTGCATTTTTGGGAACAGAATCTACAGCGTTCAGCTTGAAGCAAATTCGTTTTCACGGTCAGGGAGAGGTGGAACATGTGTGGAACATGGGTAGGAACATGGGTACCTGAAAGCTAGTCTCTGCATGATCTGAATAGGTGCTGTGTTATTTCGCCAGGCCGGCGATGGTGCACCTGCGAAATGCCACACCCGTTTAAATCCTTTACTCACATCGCTCCACGCTGCTCCCAGCCATGGTTCACATCTGAGCACCCCAAAATGTCTGCGAACCAGAGAAAGGCTTGGAGGTGACAGCGGCTGAGGTAGCTTTACTCCCCGAGGCTGACACTGATGATGAGATATGACACAAGTGTATTTTATTTCTTCTTTGATACCGGTGAGAAACACCTCCTCCGTTCCTCTTTCCAATCCTTGCCACTGCATGTCATCTCAACGTGAAACGCCTCAGTCACAGTTGAAGGATCTTACCTAAGTCAGAAGAGATCAACGATAAATGCCAGGCTGTCCTATGTTTTTTGATGTCACAACGTCAGCAGCATGGCACACAGTGACGGAGAAGAAGGAGAGTGCAGAGATAGATAGCCTGTGTCAAGCCTGATGTTACGGTCTGATTCCACGTCTGTATCTGCACAGACAGGCCGTTGGTAACAAGCAAACCCTGCATCCCAACACTAGCAGAAAACTGTGATTGGGGCTAAGATCTGAAAGCCTGTAGAAACTCCTCAGGATTACTGAAGTAACACATTGGGAAACACTAAACAACAAGGAAACGTTTGTTTACTGGTGGTGCCAGTGAGAAAGATTTAACACAAACTGTACAAATGCGTGTTGCAAAGCTTCTAATCAAGTCAGTGTTGTAGAGTCCAAGTGCGATTCGTTCGATGGGTCGTTTGACATTGTTGTGATGTTAACCCTGTGTTTCCTAGGTTTTCCGGTTCCCGGTGCGTCGGCCTTGGTTTCCCTGTGTATGTCAGTCACTCCACCAGAGGCATAGCTCCAGTCTAATCACTAAATCTCATTCACTTGTGTCCGATGTGAGCATGCTGCACACCTGTTTCCAATCAATAAAGACCTCTCTGGATGTATCCTCTGGCTCTTCACTCCAGACTTCACCAGATCGTTGGTTTATCTGTTTTTTTAAACGTTTCTTTTTCATGTCCATGACCATTCCAGGTTTTTCTGCTCCGCCTTGAGGTTCATCGTCCATTCTATACCTCCTCTGGGGCTCCCTCAACTTACCTGCCTGCCTCATCGTCTGCCTGTTCCACGCGTCTCCATATCCACCACAGCCTGCCTGTCTACTCCGTCTCCATCTCCTCCACCCCTCGTCTGTTCACGCCATCACCTACAATTAATGTATTTATGTGAGAAATTTGAAAAGTACAAAAAATTCACCAATAATTTGTAGACTGTTCAATACTATGTTTATAACATGGGTTTAACTAAGAAGCATGGGATATAAAACATTCTATTCAGAATAGCAATCATATTGGCCAATCAAACTCTTGTATCAAACTTTTTTTTACCTTTATGTAACCAGGTAGGCCAGTTGAGAACAAATTCTCATTTGCAACGGCGACCTGGGTTGAAGCTTGGGATTGAACACAGGACATCATGCAAATACAACATGCACTCTACCACTGAGCTACACCAACTAATCCTAAGCTTAACAACTATACAAAAAATATATTGAATGTTTCTAATTGATAGAATATTTTAATTATAATAATTTGTGTGTACAGTATCTGTTTAAAAATTTAATCAAAAGAGGCAAAACCAACTTTAAAATTTTTGCTCTCCCAACTTAAAATTACCATTACAATTATGCACATCAATCATTTTATGTAAACATTTCCTAGCATATTAAAATGCACACTGTGCATAATTTCAGTCATTTAACTCTAAAACATCATGCCTAGAACAATTCAAGCAAACTATGCCAAAACAATTTTGTTTCATATTTCAAATGTGCATACTTAGCATAAATGAATCTGCTAACAGTTCAACTGTTCGAACTGTCTTTGTTTCATATGGTTAGGAAATATTAATTACAGATATTTGCATTATTCCTGTTAATTAACCCTTATAATGTTTAAGCTAGAGACCAAATCAACATCAATTTTGTTTGGTGTGTTTGGGCTATGCCCGCTTAAAAAGAAAAATATTTTATTAGCTATGACGTATAATTTGCATAATAACCATGAATAAATTCACAAGCAGGAGAAACAAAACAAGACTTGTTTAACAGGTTAATGCTAACTTCAAAATCTACATTTCTAAACGTTTATAGCTTGCAAGTACACCAAATATATTTCTGTCAAACTTGTTTGTAGTGTTATATTAAGACACTGATACAAAGGTTAATTTAGGTCTACAGCATAAATGTCTTCCATGTCAGACTTCCGCATTTTTACATTTTTAGAGAGGAAGCTACTCTGGAGTATGTCTTTGCTCTAGGTATAAATTTAGAAAAACTATTATTTTATTAACTTTTTGATTGCTTCCTTACTGAAAGGAAGTAGTAAACTCAAAGTTAGAGATTAGAAAGTTTCTTCTTTTCTTTTCCAATATTTAAAATGCAAATTCATTGATTCAAAAATATAATTGAATGAATTCAAAGTTGATAGAGATACAAAGTGTTATCTTTTGTCGGTATGTCGACTGCACAGCAATTTCCCTGACGCATACGCAGACGTTCCTAAAATGCATTTGCAACAAGTTCAGGAAGGAACCATTTGGCCTTTTTTGACTTTATGATTAATTCAATCTTTCTCTTTTCCCATTCTCAATAATGGAAGAGAGATTAGAGTGGACCTAGAATATGCTGGTCTCTCAAAGAAGACTATAAATGATCTCTGACACAACTTGCTTCAATTGAATTGGGAGATGTGTCGTCTAGGAACATGTAGATATTCGTGTAGATATTCCAACCAATAAAAGGAGTGATGCATGAGAGAAAAGTGTGAGAAAAAGAAAGCCAGAGTTAAGAGAACATTTAAATCTCTGTATCATACTTTCCAACACCATACGTGATAAAGGAACCAATACATTTCCCCACGGTCTTAAGACCAAGCTGCATATGAAATTGCAATTACCTACCTAAAAATGAACTTTGACCCTTTGTTGTGTAGCTATAGTAAAATAATTTAGCTTGCTCTAGCTCTAGATTGCTTGCTCTAGCTTGCTTCCTCTAGCTTGCTCTAGCTTGCTTGCTCTAGATTGCTCTAGCTTGCTTGCTCTAGATTGCTCTAGCTCTAGCTTGCTTCCTCTAGCTTGCTTGCTCTAGCTCTAGCTTGCTTGCTCTAGCTTGCTCTAGCTCTAGATTTCTTCCTCTAGCTTGCTCTAGCTTGCTTCCTCTAGCTTGCTTGCTCTAGATTGCTCTAGCTTGCTTGCTCTAGATTGCTCTAGCTTGCTTCCTCTAGCTTGCTTGCTCTAGCTCTAGCTTGCTTGCTCTAGCTTGCTCTAGCTCTAGATTGCTTCCTCTAGCTTGCTCTAGCTTGCTTTCTCTAGCTTGCTCCAGCTTTTTCTAACTGTCCACCACTTTTAAATAAAATTAAATGTATGTTGTTTTTAGTTGCTCGGTGTGTAGTTGAAGTGTACCTTTGATGAGAAATTACAGGCCTCTCTCATCTTTTTAAGTGGGAGAACTTGCACAATTGGTGGCTGACCAAATACTTTTTTGCCCCACTGTATGTTTGCATCTGGTTGTCCAACAAATAATTTCATAAACGAGGCAATGTTCATATCTCCACTACAAAATAAATATATTTATGTAAATATATATCAGAATCAGAAAATGTTTTATTGCCTATAAAATTTACAAATAAAATGGATTTTTTTCTGGCCTGTTACTGCAACAATTTCTACCTAGGTATTAAAAAAATACTGACAATAGGCTACAATGAAATGTGTGATTAGGTGAATGCAGGAGGAGACTAAAGTCAGATTGTTTCCGGGGGCATGACCTGGCTACATCTAGAGGAAAGAAACTGTTCTTGTGGCGAGAGGTTTCGGTCCTGTTCCACCTTAACCTTCTGCTAAAGGGGTGCGTTTTGAATATTACATATTTAGGGGAAGAGAGATTAGCCTCAACCTTTGCTGCCCGCTTCAGCGTACTGGAGGTGTGTAGGTCGCATAGAGATGGCAGGTTGCAGCCAATGGCCCAATTTGCAGAGCAATTGATGCGCTGCAATCTGCCAGACAGTGATGGAGAAGGTTAGGATGGACTCAATGATGGCTGTGTACTTCACAATGTGCTCTTTATGGTGTTGCAGTATTGATTTTCCATTGCAAAGTCAATGTAATTAAACATTGTTAAACTTTAAAAACTCATTTAATTAAATTTGAACTTAATTGAAAGGTGTGGAGGAAAATTGTACACGGACAATGAAATTACAAAATGTTTTACATGCAGCATGGGAGATGCAAGTCTCTAGTCTGACTCTCCTATCTGTGGAGATACTCCTTGTTATACATCAGGAAGTAGATCACAAGAGATACACAATAATGTCACATGGTGAGACGAGCAGGCCACAACGCTATCATGACGCATACATCTAGGTATACATGGCACTTTATTGACCTGCCCTAAAGACAAAAGGTTTCCAGGCAACTCCAGCTCTATTCTACCTTTAAGATGGTTGGTTTATTTCTTTTTTATCAAGATAACTTCAGAAACCTACAAAAAACCTTCCTTCAATACCGGACTGCGCCAAAAGGGCTTGACCCCTGAGGCAGTCAATAGCTAGATGATTTGTGCAGAAATGGTTAGTCGAATATGCACTTGCGCTTTCGTGCACTTTTTGTGGGTAGAGAATGTTGTCCTCGAAAAACAAAAAGACAGTATGCTGTGTTTTGTGTAACTACATCAGAGATTACCATGATGAGATAATCATGTTAAGGCCGAGGACACTACAGGGCCATTACGGAAATGCCTCGTGATGGCTGTCACATCTATTTCATCTATCTTCTCATTTAAAGTAATGATTTGTTTTTTTTGGCCAAGCTGTTCACCCTGGTCACTGGGCGCCACTGTTACGAAGGCTACATTTCTAAGCATGCACCTCTTCCCTCACTGTCAAGACAGGGCCCAATGAGTTGTGTAAACATTGATATTTCACACAACTTCATATGCTACATGTGTGTCTGCTGTTGGGGAACGTGCATCTGTGTTAGAGAGCCTTCCAAGTTGCTTACTGCAGCACCTGAATTAACAAGCTCTTACCTTGGCCCCAATCATAGACCATAATAACAGCAAGGCAGACAGGATAATTGCTATCGCTAATTAGCCTCCAGTGAGAAATAGGCAGGGTTTCCAAGCATAGCTAGTTAACTAGGCTCCAGAATATTAATAAGAATTCCTTTTTTGGCTAACCATTGTATATGATAATAATGAAATAAGAAGGCTACAAATTACTATAGTTTCTGCAATTATAATTAGTAGTATAATCATATGCCCTGTGATTGTACTTACACTTTGAGTTTGATCATTTGGATTTCCTGCTAGAACTTATCAGGAGCAAAAATCAAATTGGGACAGAACCACGTCTCAAGTGACAAAGTGATTGGGTAATGATTCTCTGTGTAGTTGCTTGTTCTGGAGCAACGATGGCATTAGAATTGGAAGGTTCATTGGGTTCTATTTATTATTGCAGTGCAATGGTGTTGGAGAAAACAAAAAAGCTATATTATTCACAGCTGTCTGTGGTTGCTGTGTTTGACCAAGTTTCATCACGGGTGGCCAAAATGTAACTGTAAAATTCCTAAATTAACTAAATCACCAAAATGTTGACATTGAATGTTTTAGATACTTTTTTTCAGTTGTCCAATAATACCAGCTCAGGACTTCTCATCTGGTAAATGAAAGAATTCCTTATTTTAAAATAAAATAGATGAAACATAAACCATCAACATAGTGAAATATGGCTGGGTTACACCACAAAATATATTTGAATAAACCATATATTTAATACAGATTCCTTAAAAACGTTAACATCAACGAAATCTTCTAATACGTGTTGTCAAGCTACAGGTAGATCCAGAGAGCTAGTTGTCACGAATGAGTAGACGGACACATGTGCAGGGCGAATAAAGGATATTGAATACAAATTTAACTATAACTGAAAAACCACAAAGACTGACGACACACCCTGGGAGAGAAGGAACTTAAATAGGATGGTGATTAGGAAGACAGGTGAGGGCAATGAAACATTGAAACAAGTGACATGTGTGCTAAACGAGGGAGAAAGGGTGTTGGATTTCACGTGCCAAAGCGTGACACTAGTACTGTCAAGGTTCCCTGTGAAGCTGCTCTAGCACCATCTAGGGGCAGGATTCGGCATTTGTCCTCACCTGTATTCTAGCACCACAATTCCTCCTATCATTGGGCCATATTCTTCAATGTTTTCCTAAGTTATTTCTTAAATTTGTTCCTAAGAAAAGTCTTACTCAAATTCACAAACGTGTTCTTAAATGGCGTAATTGTTCGCACCTACGTTCCTATAATGATGAATACCACGTCTTTGTAAATGGAAAGCACGTATCCGTTGTTCCTAATTAGCATAGGTTAACGCCCCGGTATTTCCCATAAAAGGGCATTAAACTGCAGTGCGGAGAGGAAACTCATCGTAAAAACGTGAAGAATGCAAGAATGCAG